TATTTAGACCTATCTATGGCCTTCAAAAAGTTGACGACTCTACATGAAGATGACGTTGTAACGTCGAAACATGTAGAGTCGTCAACTTTTTGAAGGCCATAGATAGGTCTAAATAAAATGTTTTTAATTGTGTACCAGTTTTAACGTTGAATATTATTTATGATTTTAACTTCATACACAAATGCCAAAATACAATAATTGTGCTTTAAAAGATTCAGAGTTCGGGCTCATAGGCGCGGGAATGTTTGGCGTTTCAGTATGATATCGATCATGGTATTCTATTCAGATTTTTCAAGACATCAACTGGGGATTCGGGGCACTGTCGAATAGAATTGGGGCACGGGCCTCGTGTGCCAGCGCCTAGCGACATCTCCGAACTAGATTCAAGCACAAATCTATCGAATAAGTACTGTATTAAAGGTTTACATATAAACTTCAAGTAATCCCCTATACATTTATTTATTCAACGTGATTATCTTTTGTAGGCCTAATATTAAAAGAACTTTGTAGATAAATTATTGGTGCATTCTTTGGAGACGTACGTCAGCATTTATTTATTTTGTGAAAAACAAACAAGTAATGAATTGGCAAAATATACACTATTTTCAATATACATTTTTATAAATATAGCTGAGTAAACATTTTTAATTCTTGATCTATGTTTGTATTTTATATTCTGAATTCTTGTTACATGTTTATCGTCATATAGGAATGGAGACTTCAATTTGTTGATACAAATATTTGAATGCGGGGCATAGCTATGACGTCATTAGTTGTGTTCAGTACGACTTGTTCCATAGAATATAAAGTATCATTAAAACAACAAGAATGGTTGAGTGCCTAACAAAGGACAGGAACCCGAAGGCTATTCAACTTGCCATACATAGAGAGAGAGCAATGGCCGTATCTCGTGTTATGAAACAATCTGCTCTTCATTGTTAGCTATACCGAGCAAAGCACGTTCAGATGTGGAACGTTTTTGACTGACACATGACCAAATATGTAAACACTATTTATTTTTCACATAACTACAATTATTGAAGTACACTAATAGGAACAGTAATTTCATAAATAGACCTCTTTCGAAATTTTATTTTTTATTTGTTTGAAACTAAATTTGGAATTCCGCCGTCAATACATGTTTTTTGTTTGTTTTCATCTAGCCATTTCGGTAACAAGTTTACAAGTCACAAAAGAAGAAAAATTTATTGCAGTTTACTTCATGAGAGTAGGCAGTACATGTGTTCTAGGTTGAATAAGTAATGTTGTGTTAAATTAATATTTACGTCTGTAATGTTGTAAGGAAGTAATTGCCAAGAGCATTGGTCATAAAAACACCTTTGTTGATCTCCTTGCTTCAAGAGAATTTTAGTTGGTAGAGTGGAAAGTCTCGTTAAAGGAGATTGCTTTCAATTTGTAGAAGTCAACCATTATTATCTAAGATACGTTAGTGTCTTTTGTGATTCGTGTTCCAAAACATTTATTTCGGGGAGAAGTCGTGAGCATCTCAGTGTGAAATCATAGGTGGTTGAACTAATACAAGCCTTTATTGAGCTACTCCAGGCGTTTTCAGGAACTTGGAAACCTTGTAGGTTTGGAGCTGTTGTAGAGTCTTAACTAATTATGGCTTGAGTTGATCTCTCTCTCTCTCCCTCTCTTTCTTGAATTGATTTTTTAAGGAAGTTCCAGCCACTGAACCAAAATAGGTCGAGGGACGTTGGTAGGATTGCATTGTTACAGTAACCGATGGTGATCTACCACTGTCAGTACAAGAACGGTTTGAAATTGTCATCGGACCATTTGTAGAATAGCTTATTTGTGCCAGAAATGTGAAATGAAAACAGGTGGTGGTTATACGTCATGTGCACGTGCTTGTCAGGTGCTTCTTTCTGTCTTAACTTCCACATATTCGTATGCAGCTAGCTATACGTACAAGCATACATCTCAATATCTGAACACACACGTTAGTATCTGCTTTCAGCGGGTTCCATCTTTGGGTCAAGTAAAATTCAATATATACTTAATAACATGCGTAATAGCTGACACAACTACATACGAAAACATTTGAAAAAGTAGAAATCACAAGAGATCAAGGGTGTTAACCGTTTATATAGTAAAAGGACAACATTATTTACATTCGTGATGGAACATATTTAACGTTCACAAAATATATGGTTTATAATGCTTATGCATAAGTGAAAAAAGTTGAAGCGATGGAATTATAGAATAATAGATAAAAACGTATAGATGATTGCAGGAAGCTATAAAATATTAGTAGTGCTACAATCACAAGCGTGATTTTTTTTGGTGATGGTGTAAATATATCCAAATGTGTATTACTGCAAATTTACTGAGGCTTTCTTCCATCAACCCAGTCATCCATGCTAAGGAATTGACTGTTATACTTATAACACACCCACAGATTAAAGTGCTGGAGAAAGTTTATGATATCACACGGATTCGAACTCGACTCGCGAGCTCCGAAATCCTGAGCTCTATCAGAGGTACAACCCGCGCCCTGTAAACTATTATACAGATATACATACAGAATCAAAATTTTAGTTTTGTTTGTTTGTTTGTTTTGGAATTTCGCGCAAAGCTACACGAGGGCTATCTGCGCTAGCCGTCCCTAATTTAGCAGTGTAAGACTAGAGGGAAGGCAGCTAGTCATCACCACCCACTGCCAACTCTTGGGCTACTCTTTTACCAACGAATAGTGGGATTGACCGTCACATTATAACGCCCCCACGGCTGAGAGGGGCGAGCATGTTTGGTGGGACAAGGATTCGAACCCGCGACCCTCAGATTGCGAGTCGAGCGCCCTAACTACCTGGCCATGTCGGGCCATTTAAGTCGGACTATAGCCCGACCAATCCAATAGGTTCCTATGACTATGGTGTTTTTTTTTTTGTTTGTTTGTTTAATTTTAATATGTATTAATTTTTAACATTAATATAATTTACATTCAGTGTGACCTTCTTTGTTATAAAAAGTTCATTCTTCCCAGCTCTTAACCAATTTACACAAAGTTACCCCTCAGGAATCATTTTCAAAAATGTTACAATTTTTACGTATGGCAGTCAGTCATTAAGCAGAAGCTTAATATGTCACGAAAGTAAAATATTTAGATCGATATTTCTTTTTTTTTTTAAATCCAGTTTTATGCAAGTAGAAAGAATTCAATAATTATTTTTGATGTTGTAATTAACAATACACATTTTTTCATGCAAATAAAAACCTTAATAAACGTAGAAAAACACAGTATGCATTTAGTACTCACATCCAATGAAATGAAAAAGCTTCTGTAAATATTCATGAAAAAAGTAGATAAAAACAACAACTTAATTCATTACAGGCGTTAGTTTTTAGAATTTATTATTAAGCCTTATTCTTAAGGGCCTTAGAAGAAGTTAATGTACTTCTTTGTAGAACACGATATTTACCTCTTTTTGATGGTGGAAAGAAATTGTGAAAGTGTGACAAAATGGACTTTCATATCGCTGAATTCGTTTTCAGTATTATTAGAAATTGTAAATTCATTTGGTGTGACCAGGATTCGAACCCGCGACCCTCAGATTGCGAGTCGAGCACGTTAACCACCTGGCCATGCCGGGCCCCCTCATTTGCATGTCTTCTAACACTAGCTTTGATGGCTAAAGCTTACCCTTTTGTACATACCAGACTCGGATCATTTTCTACTTCTCATTGATCTACAATAACGGTAAGTTAAGATTATGTAATGGGTAATCTCCAAAACCCAATAAAAAACCCTAAAGAAAAGAAACGGTTAGATAAACTTGATTAAAGTAGCATACAAATTAATTTTGTTGAATAAATCAAAAACATTTACATAAAAAAAGCGTGGAAAATGAACTTTCATCGACTAGAGTATTCAACGAAATTAAAGTCGATATTGAAATATATCAACTGTTTATAATACCAACACAGACACACAGACAGACTTTACATTTTCACTCTTCCGTTATATAAATTCACTGTAGAAGCCTGAAGGAACTTAAATGTATTTGTGAGTTATGGTCAATGTTAACTTTACAGAACGTGGTATTCAGCTTCCTGTTTTAAGGTGACAGCTGACTAACTCAGGAATTTTGAACGTGTATTGCATCATGACCAACTGATAATCCCACCTGGTTCCTGACTCTCTATGCAGTAGTCGGGCGAACATCAAACTGCCTGCTAGCAGGATGACATTACATGTATAGTATAACATGAAAAGCAGTGGTTCACTAAAGCCGTTACTCATGTCACATCTAGAAAGCAGAGAATAAGAATCTTTCTCTACCTTGTTTCTGGTTCCTGACTCTCTATACAGTAGTCGGGCGAACATCAAACTGCCTGCTAGCAGGATGACATTACATGTATAGTATAACATGAAAAGCAGTGGTTCACTAAAGCCGTTACTCATGTCACATCTAGAAAGCAGAGAATAAGAATCTTTCTCTACCTTGTTTCTGGAAGTTCTTCGTTAGACATAACATACTTTAAATTAAGCACCAAACTAACAATAAGAAATTCTACAAAGTTATTTGTTTGTTTGTTTAATTTCGCGCAGTTATCTAGGGCTAGATCTGGTAGTCGTCTCTAATTTTGAGCGCCCGGCATGCCCAGGTGGCTAGGGCACTCGACTCGCAATCTGAGGGTCGCGGGTTCGAATCCCTGGTCCACCAAATATGCTCGCCATTTCAGCCGTGGGGACGTTTTAATTTTACGGTCAATCCCACTATTCGTTGGTAAAAGAGTAGCCCAAGAGTTGGCGGTGGGTGGTGATGAGTAGCCGCCCTCCCTCTAGTTTTACACTGCAAAATTAGGGACAGCTAGCACAGATAGCCCTCGTGTAGCATTGCGCGAAATCCATAACAAACAAACTCTGAATTATTTGGTGTTAGATTTTATTGGCACCCCCGGTTGAAATGGCATGAGTATTAATACATATTGGAAAGACAAATTTATTACGCAGAAATCATAAGCGTACAATTTTGTTCTTGTCCTTTTTAGAGGAAGGGTTGAAGAAATGATGCCATTTTCCTTTATATTATTACGGGTGCCATTTTGTATCTCTTGGATTCACATTATTCATTTATCTGTACTGGTATTTATGTTAAGTGCATTTTTTTTTCCATTCTGGTTGACATTCTTTAAAATGTAATTGCGTTGATTTTTTTTTAAAGATAATGTTTGGTTGGCGGCATGTTTCATAGTGTACGTAGTTTTAGTAGTATAACATACGGTACTTTTATTATTCAAGAAAATTCTTAAAAACATTGAAGTGAACTGCGCCATTTCTATCATATTTGCACTTAAAGAAGCATTGCACGGTAAATTTCCATCTACTAAATTGATTAAGGTTTGCTGACGTCTAACGAAAATATTTCTGTACTTATAACAGAACATGATGCGATTATTGTAATGTAGAACTGAATCTCAAGGTGAGGCAGACCATGAATCAAACGTTCAGATAAGACAGTCACGAAAACAGTTAGAAAAACTAAACTACTTAATACAAACCTGAATAGAAAACTATTTAATGGAAACGTGAATACAAGTATATATCATGGCTGATAAAGAGTTCAGACTAGAAAATATATATACTTCATCACAATACGCCTCTGTCCTAATTGCATGAAAAGTAGTACAGTATGTATAGTATGATAGAATAGAAATATCAAAGGATATGTTTTTTTTTAATTTAGATGTTTTTATTGCTGTTTTTTGTTAGAGGGAGATTTTTAAGTCACGTGACTTATCAGGTGTGGTTTAGTAACTAAAACTTTATTTAAGTTGTAAGTAATGATTTGAACTGTATAAACAATTTACTTTAGAGATTTAATGATTTTGTGAGCCTGTTAAAGTAAATGATTGAGTGCTGAGTTAGATAATTTATTAATCATTTTATCTGTTAGATTAGTTTTGAATATTGGATCTGTGTCTCTACGAAGAAATATTTAATAGGACTTGTGAATTTAAGCTTATCGTTAGTCACTGAAACCGTGTAAATATCGAACTTGTAATGAAGGAATATAAACCACTTTACATTAATTTTTACCTAATAACCAAAAACAACCCAGCCAACAATAAATAGTGTTGAAACAACATGATAAAAAACCGAAATTCCCGTCACCTGATGGTTAAGGTGCTTTCAGCCAGGGGAGGGGGCGTTGTAATGTGACAGACAATCCCACTATTTGTTGGTAAAGAGTATTCTAAGAGTTGGTGTTGACTACTTGTTTCCTTCTAGTCTATCACTTCAAAATTAGGGACGGCTAGCGCAGATAGCCCTCGATTAACTTTGCGCAAAATTTGACTAATAAATTATAAACCAAAAGTATGTGAACCTGACCATCCCATAAGTAAACA